AAAGAAACTGAATTAAGTCCTCAAATGAAAGTTTTAGTTTCTCTAGAATGGGAAAAACGAATTGAATGGATTCTTTTGGCAAGGTTCCATTAATTGAGCTATGAAAAGCAATGAATCAATGTCTTAGTTTTGGTGCAACTGCTGCAGCTAAAGTTGAAAAAAAATAATACAAATTAAGGTTAATTGAGTTTTTAAAATTGGGTGTGTGTTTTTTTAATTTTGTTCTTTAATTTAATTAAAGTTTTATATTTAGGAAAAGGAATGAAAATTGAACTTTTTATTTGAGTGTAATGGATTCTTCTAATTAGATAAATAATGTTGTTTTTACAATTGAATTATTGATTTTACTTTAAAAAGAAACCAAAAATGAATTCGGGGCTACCATGTGAATTTGCGAGTAGAATGATCATGAGGAATAGCATCTTAGTTATTTAAAAAAATCATAACATAAAAATTACCATAAAAATAAACCTCAATAATTTTATTCATTTGAAATCATCTTGACTTAATTCTTAGATTATACATAGTACGAATGCTTGAACTAACAGTTACTGTGTAATCAAGCACTTAAATGGAAGTACTTTCCCCAGTTAATGCAAGAGTAAAATGGAAATACTATTGGAATACCAGTGCAATATACTTCCATTGTACTTCCGAAGTTTGAGTACTGTGTGATTCATTAGTACAACCGAAGTACTTTTTATGACATAGCTTAATAAAACGTCTATTTAAGTGACTATTAGAGTCATTCGAAAATGTTATTTGAATATGTGAAGAAACAGTAGAGTCTATAAAATATTTTGAATCCAGAGATTTATTTTTAAATTTTAAAATCAATGAAAATTTTTCCGAATAGCAAAAAAGGGGCAATTAAAATTATATGTTTGATGAAAATGATACTTTATCGGAATTAATAATCATCATCAACTTTAGCACATCGGCCCAGATCGGGCCAATGCTTTCTGCTAAAAATTTCCCCAGGAAAACTTCTTTTTTTTTTCAATCCCAAAAATCTGATTCTATAAATGTATCAAAAATTTGATAACTCTAAAATCTGATTTAACAGAATCGAGCCATTTTTATCTTGGCCTTCCCTTTTCTAGACTACTCAAGTACTTTGACGCAAAAATATTCTTTCTGGATGTTTTTCAATTATTCTGTCGATTCAAGCAGCCCTCTTCATTCTTTAAATTATAATGTTATCTATGATATCAGGTTCTTTAAAACTTCTTTATCTGGTTTTAAAAATCAAATTTTATTTTCGGCTTTCACATAAAGCTATTCTCTTTGACACTGTCGAGAATGCTCCAGAAAATATTTCTCACAAAAACTGCTATTTTGCGTTTTCTGTTTTCAGTTAGAGGCCAGGTTTCTGAAAAATACATTTGAACTAGACTAATGAGAGTTTCATAGACAAGACTTTTTGTTTTTCGGGAAAGAAAGTGAGATCTCTATCTGGAGAGAAGTCCTAAAAACCTTCTGTTGGCCAAAGGGATACGAAAAATAGGATTTATATTAATATTGAAACATATTTAAAATATGAATTAATTCCGGAAAAGTATAAATTGCGTTATCACCAATTGGAAAATAATTTTTAAATTTGTTTTAACCTGAGTGTAAAGTTTCTTAAAACTGATACTTTTTCATTTTAAAAATAAACAAATTGAAGTTAAATTCAAAAATGAAATTCCAAATAAATAGTTTACAAATAGAAAAAAAATTACTATTTCTTACATAATAGTTGACATAAATATTCTAATTAACTAAATATTCCACTTAATTAAATTATTTTCATTCTTCCTTATGAAATTAAGAAGAATTAAAGATATATAAAATAAAAGCTAACTACTATTTTCGAAATAAAATTTCAAATATTATGTACTTCAGTTACAAAACCGCAAAGAAAGAAATACTCACTTATAAAATTCACTGCTAATAAATTGCACTACTAATTAATTTCCGTTTGCGTAACACTAAAAAATTCTTTGACTAATTATTTTCATTTAACGTAACACTAAGTAATTTTTTGTGTGATAAAATTGATTTAAACTAATTTAAATTGACTTTACAGTGAAGTTTAAAATCTCTAAGTAAAATATGTTTGAAATAATTAATTAAATTTGATATACTTATTAATAATTTAATTCTAATTCTTATATGAAACTTATTTAAAATTACTGTTTACTTATTCAATATTTTTTTTAGGTAAAGGTGTAATTCTTTAGAAACAACTTCATTACTTCCAGTGGAGATGAATTCAGCGTTATAGAAACAATTTACAATTGTACTTTTTTTTTAATCTATTCCAGAGATTTCTGAACAATCAAAATCGTTTCGAGAATTTTGATCTCGAAATTTACCTCCCTTGCTTAAATATTTTTGAGTCTTAGTCCTCCGGCTCATGTTTTGAATTCATTGCAAATTTTAAATCATTTTAAAATGGATTGGGAAATTGACACTAAATAATGAAATATTTCCTTTTTTTACGTTGCAATTTATAGTCAAGTTATAATAGCCATTCTTCAAAAATTTTACTCGTCATCCAAGCCTTTCTGTTATATTTATAATTTGAGGGCAAAATATTATCTCCATTAAAACATCTCGGTCCTGCCGATTTTCCAATGATTAGTAGCTTTAACTTCTCTGTGCTGGTCATGTTGCTTCATACCTGTAGTTATTCTTTCGAACTAATTTTGAAAACTAAAATCAGTTTGATCTGTGTTACATTAGATAAGATTATTGCTGTTAGGAAAGAAAGGAGCATATAGCGAAATTAATCTTAGCAATCAACTTCGACTACACTAGCACTTTCACCAGCCATCACTCTTTGCATATTTCCCTTTTACATTTTTAATTTCCCAAGCCATTCGATACTTACTTGAAAATATTCGATTCTCAATTCATAATCGTTCAGTTTTTCTCTTACGAGACCACCCTGAACATTTTTATCTCACATTTGTTTTATCTACTCAAACACGACAAATTCTACAACTTGTGCAAACTCGATTGTTTCAAACGTTTTCTATCATATGCATGGTGCTAACTTTCAACAGATTTTCTTATTTTATCTATTTCCTTTTAATTGTAGAAATGGGTTCAAAAGAATTTCAAATTCGGAAGCGATTTTTTTTTCTTCCTTCTTTTTATTGCCTTTTTTTACTTCCTCGTTTAGTCTTAATTTCCCCCGGGCGCTTAAATGTTTTAGAATTCTCTTTCTTCCATGTTGTGAAGCTTGAATAAAATTTTAAATGTATGTTAAATTTATATTGAAACTCTATAATTTTTATCAAAAAGATTTGCAAACCAAACAACTGTGTAACTAAAGTAAAAAACAGAATTCCTCAGCATAACATACTAGTATGATAGGACTGCTCACGTGGTCAAAAGCTAATATAATAATCTTATAATATCCAGGAATTACCTGACACCCTAAACAAATGAGTTCGAATATACATCAAACATTTCAACTTAAACCCCAGAAATAAAAATTGTGAACAATCATGGTAGCCCCATGGTACCACCTGTAGGAGAATAATAAATGAAGATAGCAGATAAGGAAGAAGAATAGAAACAGACACTCAAAGTTATTGCAACAGTGTAGGAAATAATGAAAGGAAATCCTTTTGCTTTCTTATCTTCAGAATTTTCCACTGTAACAATAAACACAAATTACAATTTATCCATCTTTCTATTTACTGCTCTTTGATTAGTAAATAGGAACTTTTTGAGTAGTTCTCAGAATAATAATAATAAAGAAAATTTTAGATATGTTTTCTTCTTCAAATGGTTTGTTCCTGTGAAGTAGGCTGAGATTTGTTAAGAAATTTAGAAGGATTTTTAAATTGAGAATTTTTTTCTCATATTTAATTCGAAAAAAATTCGACTTATTGGAAATAAATCAAAGCAAAATCTGGTTATGTAAGGGTTTTTGAGCGAAACTACGAGCTATTAATCTGCTGAAGTAATGGAATTTGATTTCACTTTATTAGAAATTATATTTATGCACCCAACTCTGCCAAAATAATCGCTAAGCTAAGAAATTGACCGAATAATGTAATAGAAGACAAAGTAAAACCTAATGATGAAACAGTTAGGAAACTCATAGTTGTTTTAGCACTCATAATAATTAGTGCAGTCAGTTATGAAGTACATATTTTACGGAATACTCAGATAACAGCCATAGAGTTGAAATACTGCATGCTGAATGCTACTATTTCAACTCTATGATAACAGCACCTATTAGTAAAAATTATTTCATCTGAGTATGATTGAAAACCTATTAAATTAACGCAAATTATGTATAGTTTTAATAATATTATTAACGATAAGCTCTAGAGAAAATAGATGTTATCTCTTTGAACGTTTCAAAGTAAATCTGTACTCGCACTAGATGTGAATATTTTGCGTCAACAGAACTAGCATCGGCCAATCATCGCTGGGATTCGAATTTGGATCATTTCATTGTGAAATCCCCTGAGCCAATGCAGCTCAATTGCTTTGTTATGAAGGAATAGTGATAGTTAGAATTTCGCTTCAATATTTTATCAATTTGGCAATAAAGTCAGATCACACTTTAATACAATGCTTAAAACCATAAAGTAATTGCTGAAAAGTATGAGTAAGTATAGAAAATAATAGTAAAATTATTGGAGAAAAGGTAAAGTTATGTTACAAAACGCAAAACTGTACGGCACTCTTTTACTCTGTTTCTGATTAGGGTGAAAAACGGAGAAAAACCGTTTTGTCAACCAAAAGCCGATAAATATACGGGAAAATTCCAGAAAAGAACGTCTATTTTTATAGGGAAGATACCAGGAAAGTGACAAAAGGCTATCAAACGGAAGTGAAAGTATATTTGACTTATCTAAGTTCATTTTTTTGTATAGTGAAATTTGATTTCTAATTTCCACAAAAAAAAGAAGAGAAAGAAGAAAAAAAACGAATTTACTATCTTGCCAATACAGTATTTAGAAATTTAATAAAAAATAAAAACACTTTACCGGCTGGTATAATTTTTGCAACACAGGGTTCTCTCTGTCCACCAATACCATTACTTCCCCAACACAGAAGGAGACCATATCCTGCCAGGGTTTTGGGTGTATAACTAAGCACACTCCTTGAACCTTCACTCCACCACTTCTGGAGATTGACAACTTCAAGGGTGTTGTTGAGTGCCCATCGGAAGTTCACGTCTGGTGGATCTGCTTCCACCTCGCAAGTCACGTTCACTACTTCCGTCCGAGCTACGCCATACACTTTGGGATCGGACAGTTTGCAAACAGGAGCATCTGAAATGGCAGATGTAAAGTGTTTATAAAATGAGAGCTCATTTTAAGAATATAATATACTCATTCAATTGCAGGGGGGTGGAATGTCCCTAAGCAATCCACCAGAGGGAAGATCTAATTGATGATCAATGGTCACTACAATGGTGGTCTTAAAGTTTTAGTGTCCATCATCATGAGAGAGAACATCCATTTGATGATGATGGACACTAAAACTTTAAAAACTAATATTATGTTTCAAATATTTATTTTATTTAAAAAAAATTTTTTTTGCTTTGAGCAAAGTATTTTAGTAAGAATAAAATATGAATTCTTAATCTAAATTTTTTACATTTTTAGTGTTGTTTACCAAATGTTAAGGAAATGAACTTTATGGAGACAGAGATTTTAAATTTAAGGTATATAACTAGTTCAAAAACCTGATTTTGGGGGGGAAAATTTTGAAATTGAGTTTATTTTAAATTTAGATTTCATTTACTCTTAGCTTTCTAAAAATATTTTTTTCTGTACTCCTAATATTTACAAACCTATACTAGTTTTTGTGCAAGGTAATAGCAGTGGATAGACTAATAATCTTAAGTCTAAAAGCTTTTATATCAAAATCAGATTTTTTCGCATTCTACACAACCTTAAAAATGATATCTCCTGTTGTTTTTAAAATAGCTGTCTACAATTTTTCATGCGTATTTATGATACACACATGTTTTGAACTACAGACTAAGAAAAAAAAAGTGTAATTTCATTTTTATGAATGTTTTTTTTTTGTTGCAAATTTTAAAGGGGAAATTTTTAAAAATTTGATTTTTTTATTACTTTAATAACTAACTCAATAGTATAGGCACTTGATTTTAAGATGGTAGTTCAAAACATATTTGATAGTCCTCCAAACAAAATCCTCAAAAGAGTTTTTGTTTTTAGTGAAATAAAAGTTTTACAGTGTTTAGCGTATAATTTAAAATGTATGTTATTTTTACCTAAAAATGACCATTTAAAATAATAATAATATTTTTTTACTAGTTTTATAAGTTTCTACACATATAAAAACAAATAAACTAATTTTCTTTAAAATTTCATATTAATATGTAGAAGAAAAAAAAGTTGTAGAAACTAGTTGGATACCTTAATAACTTCTTTATCTAAAATAAATTCTGTATATGATTTACTCAATTTCAATATTAAATACTCCAATATTGTATTAAACAATCAAAATGTTATAACGTTATACATGTCTTAAAAAATGTCTTTATATCAAAATGTTTCTATGTTCCCTGATCTGTATTTCGCATGCTTCTCTTTATTTTAGCTTCCCCACACTACTCAGAAAAATCAAATCATATACATACAATATATTTTTTTCCTTTTTTTTTAAAGAAAAGTGCTTTTCTGGACCTATTACTATATAGCGAAATACTAACATTTTACACTTATTTTATTTTAAATAAATATTCTATTAAATTATCATCAAATATTCTATAGACAAAGAAAACTTAGTTTGTACAAACACGAAGGAAACAAAATTAAATGTTAATCAACTTTTCGGCATATGCTGAGTGGAACTTTATGAAGAGAGATATATTAAAAATAATAATTGTAATAGATCTCTTCTTAAAATAAATTTAGCATATGATCTACTGAATTTCAATATTAAATACCGTAATATTGTATAAAGTCAATCTTTCTCCAAAATAGAAAATTTTATATCAAACTGTTTCTTATTGTTCCCTGATCTATATTTTATATGTTACACTTTATTTCTCTTAGTTAACATCACACTACATAGAAGAATCGAATCGCTTACATACAAATTGTATTGTTTTTTAAGGAAAAGACTCTACCTAACCATTTAAAAAAAGGTTTATCACAGGATGAGAAATTCAAATATTTCGAATTAATTTTTTTAATTAAAATATCTATTACACTTTAATAATAATTAATTTTGAAATTATCATATACTACTCTATAGTTAAAGTTATCTTAGTTAATACAAATAAAACAGTAGAGAAACAAAATTAAATGTCAATAAACTTTTCACCATATGATAAGTGAACAAACTTAATGAAGAGACAGATTTTAAAATTAATTACTGTTATAGCAAAGATTTTCTTAAAATAAATTTAGTTTATGATATTCTTAATTTCGGTATTAAATACTGTAATATTGTAAAAAGCAAAACTTTCTCTAAAGGTGGGAAATTTATATCAAACGGTTTCTTAATTGTGTTCCAAGATCCTTAATTTACTTGATAATTTTCTAGTACACACCACGCTACGTAGAAACATTGAATCGCATATATTCAAATCGTATTGTTTCTTTCAAAAAAAGTTCTGAAAAATCTTATAGTGAGGCTTATATATGATGTTGCAGCTTATTATACAAACAAAGTGGGTTATATAGCGAAATCCAAATATTTCAAGTCAAGTTTTTTTTTTAAATTCAAATATTTACAACAGTTTAATTATATTATCTATTTAATTACAAGCTACTAAACAATAGTAAAACTAAACTTAGCTGAAACAAGATATATTTACAATAAGCAATAAAAAAAATACCAACGTCTATCAAACTTACATTGCACCAGTAGGTGCAAATAATCGCTGACGCTCTGTCCTTCAGAGTTTCCGGCTAGACATCGATATCTGCCTCTATGCTCTCTTCTAACACTCTGCAGGACTAATGTCTGGTTGCTTATGATGACACCAGCGGACTTGTTACTTTGAACATAATGATCTTCGAATTGCCACGTCACATCATTCACCCAGGGATTCGCTCGAATATTGCATTCCAGATAAACATCACTCCCTTCCTTAATGTTCGATAAGCTGATCGAAGCTCCAAATGCCAAGTTAATTATTGGTGCATCTTTAAAAGGAAGCAAGAGTTAGGAGTTAGATATAGTCCAGGAAGATATAAATATTGTATATATATATANACGAGTATATATATATGTATGTATGTATGTATACATATACAATAATATATATAGTTAAGTTAATACAATGAATTATTCAAAATAGTTTATTGAGATAATGAAATATATTAGCACATATGATAATGTATCTATTTATTTATCGATTATAAGGTTAAAAAGTATCGTTCCATCTTTCAAATTATTTATTATTAGCTTAAAATGACAAATTATGGAAATTTCTATTAGTGTATGACTTAAATTTGACATAATTACATTTATTTTAATATTAAATTAATTTTTTTTTTAAATTTAAGGAGGATTGTTGTCCAGGAACAAACATTGCCCACGCGTAGTCATTGCATGCGTTGATATGGCAACCGTACTGCTTAATAATTCGAAAACGATATTCTTTGTTTAGTTGATTTTTTTTTCATTAAATTCATTGTGCATTGAGATTCGGGTAGTTCATTCTTGGAATTTAGAACCAGAGAGATCCTACAAAATACTTCTCCAGTTGTGAATAAAGAGAATTTCATCGTTTAAACGATGCTTTCATTTTTAGTTTCTAAACAAATCAGGGATCTAGTCTACAACTCAATCGTTATCGGTTAATTTTACTAAAAAGAAAAAAAACGTTTCAAAAGTTCCTTGATAAATGTTAATGGTCTACGGTTCCGTTTCGTTTTTATCTTTTCTGATTTTATCTTTTATAATGATTTCATTTCCTTCTTCTAAAATATGATTGCAACGATCTGCTACTGTTTTTATACTCATTATGAATTCAATATCCCCTCCCCCCTGTTTATTTTTAGTTTCCCATACATTATGTTACATTCTTATGTGTCTATCTTAATGATTCTAGCACTCTACTATGCCACATAACTATATCTATATTGGCTATATATAGAGTAACATGAGGCAGAAAATATTACGCAAGTAATTAACCTTTACTGTTTCAATTTGCAACCTCAAATATTGGACAGCATGATTATTATTTTAAAACAATTAAGGAATAGAAAAAAAGTTTTTTTGGAACGAAAAAAATTATTTCTGAAGAAATCATTATCTTTAATATCAAACTGAAACCATAGATCAATGTATAGTTCAATTATAAGATACTTAAGATACAAGATATGAACTTATTTTTTTCACTATACAAGCATAAAAACATATACATTTTTATAGTATTACACATTGGACTATTATTCCAGTTTACTAAATATAATGATTGGTAACGTATTTAAATTGGTGCTCGAATTTTATGTGTCTGCTAAATGTATTTTTATTCTTAAAATGCCGTAAAAGATACTTACAATGTACTCTAACAACCCATTCATCTTCGATTGCTGAATTTGGCAATGCTGAATTTTCTGCACGACAAGAGAGGATTTTGTTATTATCGTCTGGTGTCGGTACGAAATGAAGGGTACTAACAGTAAGGTTACCACCATCTGAAACTGTGTCAGTGGTTCCTGCACCAATTTTTTTGCCATCAAGCCACCATGATAACGCTGCTCGAGGCCTTGACCCTGTTGTTTCACATATAATTTGCTTCCGATTCCCTGCATTCAAAGGATAATGAGGAGCAGCTATTTTTACTTCCAGTGGTCTTACTGCAAACAAAACGAAAACATTTTAAAAACTTTTATAAAACCAATTACCTAGCAACATTACTGCAATTTTTGTTAGCTATTGTGTTGTAACTACCACTACGAAAATTAAACATCAATTCACTGGTATATAAGACTTGCTCACTTGATTCAATGACGAGGTACCTTTTGATAGATGAAGGTGGGCATGGTCGATAACTCCGCCCCCACATTATTATATTTCGATAAGAGTTATTTTAATTTTAGTATCTCTTTATTCAAAGTTTCTGAGACCAAGCTACCAAACAAGTGTTTGAATGCCTTCAAAGAAAACCCTATAAATAATTTATGATCTTCTAATAGTTATCAAATCAATAGCTAATGGCTCTTATTTTTACTGTTTCAACAGTTAATCAATAAGTAAGCCAAAAATTTGATTTACTTTGAAAGCTATATTATATCCAGAAATGCATTCATATTGATTTGAAATAGCATTTCTATCATTAAGCAATATTAAAGTGATGAACAATGCGAAAACTATAATATAGAATTTTTTTTTTAAATATGAAACTTTTATAAAACCCATTATCTAACTCTATTACTTCAATCTAAGTTAGCTATCATCTCCCTGTAACAGTTATTTTTATTTAAGCAACTCATTTATTAAAATTCTACAAAGCTAAGATACCAAGCTAATGTATAAATGCCTTCAAAGAAAACCCCATAATTAATTTATGATCTCCTTACAGTTATCCAATCAATAGCTGAAGAGAAGCCTTCATTTTTAGAGTGTTTCAACAATTAATCAATAAATGAGCTACCAATTTGATTTACTTTGAAAGCTAAATTAGAACCAGAAACATTGTGAAACTCAAAGAGGAAATTCATTTAAGGTGAACCTTGTAATTTCTAGATCTGCAGGAGCTTTTGAAGCCAGGAGGCTTCTCGTTCACTCTTTAGCAAAAGTAAACAATCTTTGTCTAGGATTTCAAGGACTGTCGAAAGTATACCAAACTTGATAAGATTACGGAAGGGGTATTTACAATAAACTTAGGATATTATCATGCTCGTAATATTTAGATCAGTATTTAGTTTCATTGTTATAGAATGGGATGTTTGAATATTGATGCATATTTTAATAAATACTTTGTTTCTAACAGTTGTTTCATTGATCAGCTAGTTTTGGTTTGGATAGTTTATACGTAATGTATTTAATTATAGTTAGAGTCATATATCTTCCCATCTGCCTTTATATGAAAGAGAGTCTGTCTGTTTGGATATTCGCTAATAGCTCGAGAACAAAAGCATAAATTTGGATCATGTTTTTTTTGCCGTCGGTAAAAATTAATGATGTGGTTTGTAAGGCGTAATATCAAAAGCACAAAATGCCATCGTTGAAAACCATTGTTACAGATTAAACCTCCTCTAATATCTTTAGAATGGCTTCTTTGATTGATACGCCATTTTTCGTTACAGATTGCGAATATATTTTGTGTTATTTTGCAATATTTTCCAACCCTCTACGTTGAGTGGTTCGCATACAACAGGGGTGTCAAACTCAAAAGCTAACTTGGGCCAAATAAACAATGCTTAACTTTAGGTGGGCCGCAGAAAAAGAAAAAAAAATCAGTGTTCATAGAAACAAATATTTTTATTTTGAATAGTACATTATAATAAACATATATAAAGTAAAATTATTGTTTGATACTTGACATCTCTTCTCTACTACCATCTTTCCAATTTCGGGAGAAATTTTAGTGGCTGAGACTACTTTCAAAATTGACCCAACATGAGCGTTATTGATACGGTTTCGAATGGGAGATTTATTTCCATTCATAACAGAAAATAATTGCTCGCACTGATAAGTACTTCCAAGCATTGAAATAATTTCATATGCCAATTTTCGAGTATTTTCAAACCTTGCCGGTAAATATTTGTAAATTTCAGGCACACCCACTTCAATGAAATTTGCCTTCAAATTTGAGTCGCACTAAATCTCAATCACTTCCATTCGCATATTACTGGGTACTGAGTCTATATTTAATGAGAAAATCGAAGAAAACAAAAAAAAATTTCTTCCAAGGAATTGAAATCTTTAAACCTTGTTTCAAATTCAAGATTTGAAATTTTTTCTGCGTATTTTTGATACGATGCAGTATCCCTGGAATGTCAAATACCGCAAGCCAATTAAAATTTTACATTTTCGTGCGTACAATTTATAATTTTATAAGTATATTATAATTTTATATGCTAGTTTCCTTTCTAATTCACATTTCTATTTTATTTTTGCTTTGAGTCGGAGGTATTGGCTGGGCCGCAAAAATGTTCATCTCGGGCCGCGAGTTTGACACCCCTGGCATACAATATTGAAAAATGTGTTTGTTATTACGTTGTCCTGTCATCGAAACAGCAACGTTAGGAAATGTTTTAAAGAGAGAAGCAGATGAATCTCGAGAAAAAAATTATGTTCTCTAAGCTCATAGTTTATAAATGAAGTAAAAACGTCTATCAGGAACAAATGCGCAGGCAAACGTAAGTTATTAAGAATTTTAAAAAATACTATTAACGATAACAAGAAGTAGTTTTAAACTTAAATATGCTTATTCTTATTCGTCCAAATAATATTTCATCTTCAAGGCGTTTAAACTTATTAAATTCTGATACTGAACCTTATTACTTACCAGACAATAATAATAATTATTATTTTTTGTCATATTTTTTAAATACGAATTTTTAATTCTCTAACTGCATATTATTATTTTTTAGATAAAAATATTATGAAAATTACAAAAAAATATTATTTTTATTATTAAAAATGGTTTATTTTGATTCGGCACATTCAACCAAAACTAATATAAAAGCGGAAAAGAATGTATAATTTGGTCAGTAACAAGAGTCAGAAATAGCTACACTGCGACAGCCTCTCGTTTAAAGTTGGTCTTTAGGTCAAACTCAGACTTTTTTTTCTTAAAGTAGAGAATAAAGCCTTATAGTCTTAATAAACTTTAAAAGGCTGTGATGTATAGGGTCACAAAGCAAATACTTAAAATCATGATAAAATCTGGCAAAAAATTGTTTCTTAAGTAATTGACTCGTCTACAGTCGTTAAAAATAATGTAAAATTACATGTATAACAGCATACATGTAAAATATATTTAGTTCATCACACAACGAAAATAATAAAAATAGTGTAAATAATATTTATTCTGAACACAAAAGAACATACAAAGCAAAAGTAAACTTGCGGTTTAACATAGCAAAAATGAACTTCCATAAAAATAACTCCCAAAAAAATTTTATTAATTATGCATATGATATTTAAAAAAATTAAATTTAAAAAAAATAATATTCAGTAAAAACTTATTAACTGAAAAAAATTTTTAAAACGAAAATTTCAAAAAAATAAAATTAAAAAGAAGATATTTAACTATGAAAGAAAAACAACAGTTAAAAGAAAGTCTTTTAAGGCTTAAATATTCCGTTGCATATTTTAAAAATTCATCTTTAGTAGCATTGCCTTTCGTTTTATGTTTGAAAAGATATAGCAAGCTGTGATCTTTGGTTTAGATATTGAAATTAAAATAAATAAAAAAAACGTTGTATTTTTTTGTGATTATTTAAAAAGTAAAAAGATACTAACTATTCTCATAAGAGCCTGCTTTTTAACGATCATTTTGAAAGAACATGAACTTTATTTCGTGAATTATTTCTTTTAGAATTTGAAGAGATTCTCGTATTGAGAGTGATATTGCTTTTTAGTATGTATAGGTTGTTTAAAAAAGGAAACTAAAAAAAAAGCTTTAAAAAAATAAAAATATATTTTCAATATCATTTTTGTTCTTCATATTATCTCATGAGAAGAAATGCAACATTTATTTGAAATCTGTTTGACAAAAGACATGAGCTGCAGTTGTATAAGTCATATATGATGGAAATTGTATTTATACAGATAAAAGTGAGGTTTAATATATTTTTTTATTTAATGGAGCTTGACTATTATTCAAACTTAACTATTATTGTCAGTTTCCCTTACTTTCTAGCATAGTTTCTCCTAAATTTCTTTCACAGTTTATTTAGTGGTTTAGTTTCCATTATAGTTTTAAACATTTGATTCAGTCGCCCTTACAGTTTTAAACATTTTCGCACTTCAATATGCAAGACTTCTTTGCACTTCAATAAGTAAGACTAAAATCATGAATCCCAACAATGATCAGTCGATAAGAATTGTGCTTCCAAGTAGCATCGATCACAGTGCTGTCATAAAATAACGTGATATGTTACGATTACAGATTTACTTAGCTACTTTCACAGAAAATATTTGCTACCACAGGTTAAAATGCTGTTGTAATTATGGATTTCCTGCGTAACATTTACAGAAATCATTTTTATTTCTGGTAGGATTCAAAACCATTCTGACTAAGAATTTTTTTCGGATGTAATGCCACTATGATGACCGTGACTAAATAGATCGACAGTGGCAGCAAACGTATTAATAATATCTTCGCAAAAAGTACGTTCCGTTGGTGTATAGATTAATAAGGTACTTTTGTTTATTTTAAATCTTTCGAAGGTACTCGATAACACTGTAGCGAAATGTATTGTCTATAAAAAGACTCTCTAGAATCAAGCAGTTCTCAAAATTTTCAAATTTCAGATAAACGTGATTTTAAAAGAGAAGGCGTGATTGAGTGAGTAAGAGAAATTGCAGAATGCTGAAGAGACAAACAAGTAATACAAAAAGTGAAATATTTAAATTAAAATTTAAAAATACATTCTGTCTAAGAATTATTAGTTGCTTGAGTGTTTAAAAATTCTGACATACATTGAAAATTAACTAGATGCTAAATTTCTGAAGCACTTATCAAATTTATTCTATTAAATGAAGAGCTTTTGGCAATAAAGTGATAAGCCTCACTATTTTCTCTAAGTTTTCTTATTATTGTTTACTTTACAAGTTATCAAAATTTCCAATAAACAGTTCACTGAAACGCCAATGTATTCAAAATTTAAAAAAAAGAAAAACGCTTTCTTCAGTAATTCTGAGAAATAACAAATCCTTATATTTCTCACAGCCTTTCGAATTAGTAATTAAAATTATTGAACATATTATAGATTAAGTATTAAAATGAAATTTTATAACAATATTTCTTCTTCGTCAGCATCGTCTTTGTCTTCTTCATCTACATAAATAAGCTAGCTAGCGTTCTGAATTTTAAGAATTTTTTCGATCAGAAAAATACTCTTTCTTAAATAATTAAAAAGGTTAGGCGGTGAGTTTTCAATTTTTCTTTAAATTAGTAACCAGTTTCTAAGTTTTTTGGGACACTTTTCATCCTAAGCATAAACGCAATATCAGGTCATAGTTCTCCAACCCAACTTTTTTTACTGGTTTCATATGTCACTATGTTTCTCAATATATTGATACTCAGGATTTCAAGATTTTTTTCTAAGAAGCCAAAACTTCTCGTACTCTTTTTCGTTTTGGTGCATGTTTTCCAAACCTGAGATTATTTGTTGAGTTAGCAAAATCTTTTCTTTCAAACCCCCTTTTACAAATTATTTAAACTTCCTGTATACACTGTAAAAATATTACTCAAATATCACAAAACTTTCTTCGTTTTTGGCGAAACCGTTTCCTAGTTTATATTCCAAGCGAACATTTTGTCAAAGTGACAAAAAAGTAGTACTGTCTAATGTACCTAACTTTTCTAAAAATCACTTTATCGTTTACTACATATAGGTAAAATAACACAACAAGCATAGACAGATTAGAGAGATAAATTACACCTTTGCCCGAAGCGAGTTTCGAACCCCTGATCTTCCTGGTATCAGCAACTCCTTGACCACAGACAGTTACGACAGTCTAGTTACATCATTCCAGTTAACAATCTGACACAATGCACTGCGTTGAGGGTCAGAGTAGGGAGAACATTTTCGTCATGTATTCGAGAGTGCGCGTTTCGTCACAAAATACGTAATTTTGTGATGAAATGATTCTCAAATTTAATGAAATACTGTTCGAGGATTGCAAAATCATCAAAAATGCGAGTTTTATTTCTGAGAGTGTAAATCCTGATTTTGTCAGAAGAATAACGTATCATTTGCTTTTAAAGTTTCATGAAAAATATTTCTAGACTTAATTCAGAATTTTTTTTTCTTTTTCTGCAGTTTTTAATTTATAAACAATTACTTATTCAAATAACTGAAATCCGGTGACTTTTTAAAATGTTCTCTTTTAAATTATTCTGATAAAAATGTAATTAATGCACTGAGGAAAAATATGGTCAAAACTACCATGATATAGTAAACTTTACAGCGTTTCCGGCTCTATATGAGCACCAAAAAGCTCTATAATTTTTACCCAAGAGCTTTGATAATTATTTTTAAAAATTAACAGTAAGCATGGTGTTATAATATGTCACAAAATTTGGTAAAATTTGGTAATTCTATCATGATACCTAAAAGCATGATAAAAAAAAGCATTTATTCTGTAAAATTTACTTTACTGTTAAATTTACTTATTTTATCTTCAATTTTGTATCTTTTATGAAATGTATTGTAATAAGAACTATAATTTTGAAAAATTTAATTTCCCATAAACCGTTACCATATAAACAGAAAAAAAATTAAAAAATGAATGATTTAACTACCGTCTATTTTCATCTTATAAACTAAAATTACGTTGTTTTTTTCATTGAAATGCCATTACGATAAGGTACGCTTACCAGACTTTTTTTTCCTGCTTTAAAAATAAAAATAAATTTTAGATCCTTCCTGCATTCAAAAAAGCAGCATTCATTTATAATTAGTTTCATTTCATAACACCATAACTTAAAACTAACATGTCAAGTTACCTTGAAATAAATGGTAATACTTACAATTAATGTCAATCCGAACCGCTGAAGTTCTTGGTCGAGTTAAGTTAGTGTTGGTTGCTTGACATGTGTATTCTGCTAACAAATCAGATCTTCTAAGTTCAAAAAGGAACAATTCATTTCGAACGAACCCCTGGGGAGTGACGTTGAAACTGTCATCTAAAAGGGTCGTTCCGCGCCACCAAGTCACTTCTGGTGACGGATCACCTGGAAAACAGGACGTCATTAATAACTCTGATAAATATTATCATAAACATGCAGTAATGTAATTTAAATAACCTGGCCATGATAAATGCGTACTGAAGTTAACATGTTGCGTAATTTGTTTCCGGGGATTTAAATTTACATTCAAAACTTGGAAAAGTTTGTTGAATTGCAAGAGCTTAAACAGAAATGCTGTTGCAATAGTTATTTACTTATTAGGGAACAGTATTAATGTTGGTATGCAAAACTTAGTTTAAGTTTGAAACTAGAATATTTGTTATGCGTCTTGCCTTAGAGTTTAATTCATCTATTATTCAGACTTTTACTTAATTGTTTGTTTTCGTGTATTATGTCGTATTATTGCATCTTCTAGGTTTTATATTTTCTTAATATATAGCGTAAAATTTAAAACGATTTCATATGATGATATATTTCAGAAAAGATTTATATCTATAACTTTTGAGAAATATTTACTACAGTTAAGAAAAATGTATCTAAATTTCTGTAATTTATTCAAATTTTTCAAAGATTAATAAATTTGACTTCTTTTTATGGGGAAAATATTAACCTCGGACATTTTATTTGTTTTGTCTTAAAAACCGTTATTTACTCCAATAGTAATCTTAATTTTTTTTTCATTATTTTTTTTTTTGCGTCTCAAACGATACGATTACACAACGATATGATTACACAACGTTATAAAGGAATACGTACAACTGTATGGAAAAACAAAACTTTTATAAATTTTTATCGTCTTAGCCTAACTGAACACAGTACTTTCACCAGCAAACTTAACTTTACCCAGCAAAAACTAGAAAAATATTCCCGTTTTAATTTCAAAAAAAGTTTTCATACCTCGTTGCGGCGTGCTTTTTCTTGCGTTTCCATAGAATATGTTTAAAAAAGTGTTGTTTTTTTACACGTGACTTATTTTTTTAAAAATATGGTATTTTCATAATATTAAAGTTCTGCCCAGAAAAATTCTCATAAACAGTTTTACTAAGCATCATGCTGATAGTTTTTTTTCTTTAATATGTACACAAATTTGCGTCAGACAATTTCATCTGCAATAAGAATTTTAATCCTTTCATCATGACAGCCTGCGATTATTTGTTATATGTGCAACGTACCTTTGGAATCACTTTTAAATGGTGTTTCATTTTATATCCGTCATTGAATAGCCGCCCCAATTTTGACTTAACGATCATCAATGTTCAACTCTGAAGCTTAGTAATTTTAGAACCAATCCAGAAGATGCGGACACTCCGTGATCAAGTATTGGGATAAATTTGCATTCGAGGAACACTTTCTGTAGAAACTAACCTGAATTCACTTTACATGGAGAGGTAAACCACGAAAATCTTTAACTGTTATCGTGACAGCAAGGGGACTCTAATTCATGGTCAGTGTATCACTAAGGATATTTTATATGTTACGCCAGCACCGTGGTCGGAGAGAGCAGAGTGCGAAATTCGTGACAGCCATCCAGTGCTGGGATTCAAACCAGGGTTACTTGGGAGGTAAGATCTCTATCACTATGGGAGCACCGAAAATTGTTTATAAAAATAACTGTAATTTTGAAAGCCAGAATTTCGCGTAAACTGATACCATATAAAAGGAAACCTATAGTATCTGAATGGTTTAAATTTCGTATATTTTGGTTTTGTTACTAGAATTATAGTTTTTGAAGAGTGTCTTAAATATCCCATACGGTAATCTTACCAGATTTTTTTTTTGATCTTACATATTATTATACACTTTAACTACATGTTTGAAGAAAATACTGAATCCATAAAATAGAACGTGAAATTACACTAGATAAGAACCTTTTGCATTTTTTATAAATTGTAATTAGTTAGCAGTTAATAATAAATTTAAGGTTTGTAAATTAAGTTACCTCATTAACAAAAGTCATAGAGGTGATATACGAGTGTCTTACGTTTAATAATACGGTAAATCAACTTCAACAATACACAAAATCCACAACACTATTTCTCAGCATATAATAGTACAAATTAGACATTTAATTACTTCAGTATTGAACGATTTATGCAATTCATTAAACGATTCATAATAGTAGTTATTACATCTTTTTTTCGGAATTTGCAAGTTAGTTTAGTTTCATACTTTTAAATCCAAACAAATAGAGGCTTTTCTCATTTCGGTGTAATGTATTTTCCAAATAGCCTGTACATAATGAGATGACGCAGTCACAAATAGCAAGTCAACTGGTCAATGTGGACCACCCATCAAAGTGGGCGTTACTTTCGATGTAATCGAGCTCCTATCACGTCCACGCCGGTCACCAACGTGGGGAAGAAGCTTTAATTCTGGTGGCCAAGCTTTCGACAATGCCAACCTTGTGTACATCAGCTCTCTTAATAACGACTAAGTTTTATCTTTTCCCGTAAAAGGTTTACAAAACATCTTCGCACGAAAAAAAAAAAAAAAAATGAAAAACAGCCTGAAAAAGCACATCCTCTTCTTTCAGAAGTTCTAAAATTATCGTTATTTCCTTGCATAAAATATCGTCTACTCGTTGTGCTGTTTTTTATAATTACGGAATTTTTTAGGTATCTAACAAATTATACAGAACGTTGTAACGAAAAATTTCTATGAGAATGATGTAGTACCTTAAAAGAGATTACATGCTTGTTTTAAATTTGCAAATACAAACTAATAATGTATTTTGTTCCACCAAAAAATACCAAGATTGCTTATAAAATTTAAAAGAATTTTTAAAAAAAGTTTAATTGGGTTATAATCATATTTTCCATAAAATAAGTTTACAGATAATCATCAATTATGTGTTAGGAAGCTAAAATATCGCATAAACGAAAGCAGTAGATGTGATATACGAGTGTCAAACTGACCATACGTTCAATTATTCAGTAAATCAACTCCCCTTAATGTATAAAAACCACAACACTATTTCTCAAAACATAATTCTACCATCGGACGTCCAACGTCTACTTCCATTCAGTATTGAACGATTTATTCAATTCATCAAAGGATTTATAGAAGTAGATATTACATTATTTCTGGTTGTGAGGGAACGGTAATAATGGTCATGTGCTCTCACGATTCCAATTTCAGATATATTTCTAAAAGATATATATTCTCCTGCTTTCATTTTTTCGGGATTTGTGGGCAGAGGAGGCTATCGATTATGATTCCCCAAACCAATTTCGAAATCTATCAGTTGAGAAGAGTTCTTCTGCCCTATGAATCATTTACTTTATTTCTTTATCATTTTTCTCTAAGTGACTGACTTGCTATCTCAAAGTTTGCCCATTGCGTGATTTTGGAGACAAAATAAGCTTCTTTTCGTCCCATTTAGATATCTGTGCACGCAGATGTACTTCTAATAATATTTTCTGGACGATTACAAACATATTATCTCACGGAGCATTTCATTTCTAATCGAATAGAGGTTGTTTTTTTTTTAATGGAAAATATCAAATGATTTGTTTAGTCCCCCCTTCATTTTGGACTTTCGCTTATTTTTATTTGTATAACGAATAAAGGAAGCAGGTGTTTTGGTAAAATTTTATATTTTCAATTAAAAATTGTATAAAAAACTTATTAAAAAAGTATCAAAAATAACTTTAGAGCATCTTAAAAAGTCACAAAGAATGTTTGCCATGAATAATTTTAAATTATTCTAATACTTATGTTACTGGATAATTATTAATTTATCAAAATACCGTTCTGTTTGAAAAAATTCACCTTTACAAATTTTTTTCATTGAATGTGAGCTCATCAGAATGATTTCATCAACAAATTAATGTTAGAAATTATTGCTATTGCGATCAATCGGGATTTGAACATTACGCTATTTCGTGTGTAGGAAAAGGACATTTTAAAGCTAAATTGTTTCATAAAACGTAAGAAAATATTATAAATATTTGAAAAATTATTTTAAGGATCGATAAATAAATTCAGAATATTTATGTAATCTATTTTTTGTTAAAAATGTTCTGTTTTCTGGATCGTTACATTTGGATATGCATTGCTAGATTATCTAGTAATTTGCTTATTTTGAAACATATCCAAAATTCCAAAACTTGCTTCTTTAGTTAGAAAAATAATACAAAGACATTTAAGGAAACCATTTTACAATATGTTTATTTTGACACTAGACAGGACAATAAATTTAATCAAAAACCTTAACTGTGCTTTTCTTTTAAATTGAATTGTTTTCCTTGTTTAAAGTTCAGGTGCTTGTTACGCTCAAAACTTTTGAGAACTTCCTTTTGACAATTTTGACATTCTTGGTGTTCAAGTAAGAATAAGAAAAGTTTTTAATGCGTTCATCCCATAAATCTCTCCTGACAAAAAAAAATTGGTGCACATTCTGCCTACAGCAATAACCATATATGATTATGCTTTTCAGTAATAACCAGCTCAATTCAATTTGCAAGTTAGAATTAAATGTGATTTAAATTTTAATTACATTTTATTTCATTTTTTTAAACTTTTTGAAATACATATAAAAAGGACTTTGTTTCACGTTATGTTTTTAATCTTTTATATTAGAATTAAAGACAAAAAAATATACTGATAAATAAATATTTGATGATTTGAATTGTAATTTTTACTATTTTTGTATATTATTCTCCCCTTTTTTAGGAATCATTTCATCAGTGCTAATATACCAGAAATGCGTTTTTGTTTACTGATGACTCTCAAAGAAAAGCATATTATTCTTTAAATGGACAATGACAATGATCATTTAACTGACTATTTCACCATTAGTGTTTTGTTTTTTTGTAAGAATAACATACGTTATCTGGTAAATGTTTTTTTTTATTAAAAACACTGGGAGTTTATAGAGAAATATATCCTTAAACTGTAGTAATTTCACAATAAATTACAATTAATCCAAAGGATTTTATAAAAGACGAGTTAGGAATAAACTGATTTTATTTAATAATAAACTGATTATTCGACATAATTCCTGTTACATTCGAACATGTATCATAGTATAATGCCTTCCTTGA